CGTAGCTTAGTATGATTATTTACCCGCTGCCCCACGCAGCAAGATGTGGCACAAGGGCGAGTTTTAAAGTGGGCTATCCGAGCCCGTAGGCCTGGGCGAAAATTCTCTATAGACCACGTAAAAACGGAGACGAGACTCTGCCCTTCGACAGAGCCTCGTCTGGGGTATACCCTCTGACCTAAGCCAGGTATGAGCCCAGCGTTCCTGAACAATTCCAACCTTTCTGCCTGAGCTCCTGAGTCAAAATTCGCAAATAATTGGTATGTGATGTTTCACGGCAGATATAAAAATAGTTACCCACCGCTCAACCGGTGGTTGGGCATTACGTCATTTTTCTCTACCACCGGTAAAGCGGTGGTTGGGCATTACGTCATTTTTCTCTACCACCAGTAAAGCGGTGGTCAGGGCTTAAAGGGTTAAACAAAAGAAATTATGAAAATTGCACATTATTTAATCCAGAGAGCGGCTGTAGTAACTTGTAGGATCTATTCCCTTGTTGGTTTCTCGTTTCTAGCATGCTCTAATCATTAGGTTTCTAAACCTACTCCTCTGTCGATTCAAATCTATTCTTCATCCGTAAGGAAAATGTCATTCATCCCTACCTTATAAGAGTTTAGACATTACACAGAAGTTTAGTATTATTTTCTTTTTTTCCGAGGACGTTTTCCTGTCTCTTAATACTTTGCTTAATTTCTCAAAGGCATGAGGAGTTTGTCAAACAGTCGTTGCCATACAGGGAATTAGATAATACACAACGGTTAATCACACTTTCCTTTGTGTTTTAAGATATTTTCTTATCTCTTAATACGTTGCTTAGTTTCTGAAAGGCATTTACTGTCATATATAAGATTAGATAATACACATCAGTATTTTTACAGTAAGGTACACCTTATACAAAGCCCAGGGACATCTGGAGAGAGAGGTTTAAGTTAAGGGATATTTTATAGGAACAGGAGGAGGAGATAACGGTTGACATTTAGACTTAAACAGGTTAAAATTTTAGTAATCAGGGCTCATCTCTGTTTTCTTTGTTCCAAACTACATTTTTCTATCTCTGAATACGTTGATTTGTTTCTGAAAGGCGTGAGGAAATTGTCTTGCATTCAATGATATATAGAACATTAGATAATACACATCGGTTCATCACTCATTCCTTTGTTTGTCTTAGGACATTTTCCTATCTCTTAATACATTGCTTAGCTTCTTAAAGGCATGAGCTGATTGTCAAATATTCATTTCTATATAGGAGATTAGATAATACACAACGGTTCACCACTCATTCCTTTGTTTTCAAAGGACATTTTCTGAATCCTTAATACATTGCTTAGCTTCTTAAAGAGCCGATTGTCAAATATTCTTTGCTATATAGGAGATTAGATAATACACATCGGTTCATCACTCATTCCTTTGTTTTTCGAAGGGCATTTTCTTATCTCTTAATACATCGCTTAGCTTCTTAAAGGCATGAGCTGATTGTCATTGCTATACAGGAGATTAGGTAATACATATCCGTTCACCACCCTTTTCGTTTTATCCTAGTGTATTTTTTTCTACGGAAACTAAGCAAATTATTAAAATTTTGTTTTATTTCTTCACTGTCAATGCCTGTCGGAGTTCGTTATTTTTTAACCTAATATTAGAAAGATTGTCAGGCTTTTCACTCGCTTATATTTTAGTCATTCCTCGTCTATTTACGCATATATATTTGAGAAAATGAACGGGCTAAAAATTAATAGTTGAAAGAGAGAAAAGAAAAAAAAAATGAATTACAAATTCAAAATCCAAAAGACGACTTTATAGATTTTTGGTCAATTTGCATTCATTAAGTTTGAAATTCAATTCAATTTATTTCTTTGACACACTGAACATGTTTTCTACATATTTTATTTATTTTAAAGCATAATTTTGGCAAAATGTTCCAAAAATGAATTCTTTTAAAATCTAAAATGCCATTCACTACAGCTGGAGGATGGCATAACGAAAAGAGGTTACCAATTGTAACGACATTCAGTGGAATGTCTGAAAAAATTCAAAATGATGGAATTACCGTATTTTCCGGCTTACAAGACGCTGCTGTTTATAAGACGAACCCTAATACTGAAAAGAAATTTCTAAGAAAAAAAAAGAAGACATTCTTATACAACAACAGATTCACCAAACCTCCTTCATATAATGGCTCCACATTTCTTTACATTAATCACTCGTCCGGTTTTGTTTGTATGGCAATGACATACTAGTCAAGAGCAGACAGGTTCCCGCCGCTGCTAGTAAACAGAGCATGTTTAAACTTGTGGCTCGGCTCCAGGAAGGTATATAGTTTTGGAAATACTTGTAACAGCTAAGTATTGAGGTTACATCATATAAAAGGCTGAATTAGAAAGTTAACATTATAGTGTAATGGCTCAACATAGAAATCCATGTCCTTATCAGTTAAGCAAATAAGCTGACCTTCCAAGCTTACTTGAGCCTGGGCATTGCCTTACCTTCATCTTGGAAGATGCACACGTATTTTTCAAGGTATTCTTAGGAAAAAAAAATCGTCTTGTAAGCCGGAAATATGGTAGTCATATTTTTTTTAGTAATTTCATTCCAAGTAAGGCAATAAAGTTACTAAGATGCAACTTTTTACTGAGTGCGAAAGAAAAGAAAAATAATCAAAAATACTGAAGATAACGATTAATGTTTAGATTTTTGAAGATCAAAGTTGACTGGAAAACAAGAAACTGGATGAGAGTTCCACAATCAAGAAATGCGAGAGAAGAAACCATTAGCATAGAATTTACGATTACATCTAGGCCTTTCAATTGTAAAATGATGAGACCTATCTGCCAATCTAGTACTGCGCTAGTAAAGTTGAAGTAAATTAACTTTTTTTTAAAAATTTTATTTTACACTGGTTTGTAAATGACATTTCTTTCTTTAAGCACACTTCTCGCGCTTTTAGCTTATGCATGTCCCGCGGACTTAATTAGACCGAAATTTTTTCCGGTAATTTGAATTTATAATATATACAATATATCTTAGTCACTGCATCATTTATTTCTCAAGATTATCAAGGATTGCAAAGAGCTTTATGAAATATATCTGTTTTAATATTATTCTACGTTTAAAATCATTTTCTTAAATAAGTGTAGGAAACGCTGGCCGTAATGAAATTGAAGGGTTAAAAATTATAGGGTTTGATTACCAAACAAGAGGTGCGTATTATGCATGAGTAGAATCATGTTTCTCACATTTTCAGTCCAATTTTAGGAGTGCGTATTATGGATAAAGGCGTATTATACACGGAGAAATAAATGAAACAGTGACTAAGCCAAATTGTATACGTTATAAATTCAAATTAACAAAAAAAAATATTCAATCGAATTGAGTTCGTGAAACATGCGTAAGTTGAAAGAGTAAGAATTACTTAAAGAAAAAGAAATGTCATTTCCAAACCAGAGTAAAAAAAAAAAAGTCAATTTGATTTTATAACGTATCCAATCTAGTTTAGTCAATGTTTCATTTATTTCTAAAGAGTGATCAAAGATTGCAAAACGCTTTCCAAAATATATCTGTTTTAACAATAAATTATTCGTTGGAATTACAAGTTCTTATTCTTTTTAATTCAACTTCACCAATGGAATTAAGCCTTTTTACAATTAAGCGAATATCTCGTTTAAATTATCAATATTCTGTGTATTTTAAATTTGAAAATTCGTTTATATCGATCAATTATTTAAATTATTATTGAGACGGTGCGAAAGCGTAAATACTTTTTCTTGTAAATTGATTTACAATTTGAACCGTTCATTTATGTTTCGAAAACGTTTCAAAATAATTAACGATTGACAAACTGCTGATGAAACGAATTCTGTTAGGCATATGAAAAGAACCTTTTTATCTTATTCAACGTGGCCAGGTCACGTGCTAATTCCCATATGCTTATCTCCTTGCTTAAATGATTCTATCTGACATTCCATCAAATGGTGAAATTTTTTTTTTTTTCTTTCGCGATGACGACACTTTTAATCTTCGTACAGATCTTGTTAGTCACACGCAATGCTTTGTCCGGGAAAAAATTACTAAGCAATAATAAATTTTAACGCAAAAAGAGTAAACATGATTCAATTGAGAATTGAAAGAAGCAAATGGTATGCTATTCTAAATAAGGATTGTCAAAGCATAAATTGGAATGTAGTAAATCTCCTGCCTCACTTCCTCCTCACTTACTAACTCACTCGTTCAATCTCTTTCTCATTTGCTGTCTCTCCCTCCACCGCACTCTTTCTTTCACTGTCGCTGTCTCTCGCTTTCTTGTTCTCTTTCTCTTCTCCCATCCTCTCTATCTCTTTCTCTCTTTCTCTTCTCCCATCCTCTCTCTTTCTCTTCTCCCATCCTCTCTATCTCTTTCTCTCTTTCTCTTCACCCATCCTCTCTTTTTCTCTTCTTTCATCCTCTATTTCTCTTTTTCTCTTTTCACATCCTTTCTCTTTTTCTCTTTTCCTATCACCTCTCAGTTTCTCTTCTTCCATCCTCTCTCACTTTCTCTCTCTTCTTTCATCCTCTTTCTCTCTCTTTTCCCATCCTCTACCTTTCTCTTCTCCTATCCTCTCTCCCTTTCTCTTCTCCCATCCTCTCCCTTTCTCTTTTTCCATCCTCTCTCACTTTCTCTCTCTTTTTTCATCCTTTCTCTCACTTTTCCCATCCTCTCCCTTTCTCTTTTTCTATCCTCTACCTTTCTCTTCTTCTATTCTCTCTCTCTTTCTCTTCTCCTATTCTCTCACTCTTTCTCTTCTCTCATCCTCTCTCTCTTTCTCTTCTCCCATCCTCCCTCTTTCTCTTCTCCTATCCTCTTTCTCTTCTCTTCTTCTATCCTCTCTCTTTCTTTCTTTTTCTTCTTCCATCCTATCTCTTTTTCTCATTCTCTTTGCACATCCTCTCCTTCTCTTTCTCTTCTCACATCCTCTCTCTCTTTATTTCTTTCCCTTCTCCCATCCTGTCTCTCACTCTTTCTCTAATACACTCCCAAAACCACACAGGTATAAAAACGGAGGAATCATATCATTGTTAACGAGTTAAATATTTGTATGACACAAGGTGTTAATAGTTGAGCACTCAGCGCGAATCATACTCACTACCCCCTATGTTACAGGAGTCAGGTAATTTTTTGGCGAGATAGAATGAGTTGTATCTTTATGCTTCATAATGATTAAAAATAATGTCAAAAAAGCTTCACCCACTTTAACCCTTTGGAGAAGGAGCCTCATTTGGAGTTCCGGTGCCACTCGGAACAAAAAAAAAATCGACGTATAAACACAGAAAACAAACAAACTATCATAGAAACCGCCATTGAAAAGCCCAGATGCGCAAGAAATGTAAGAAGCATTCTGATTGGCTGGTAGGAAGACCATCTAGCTAATCTTGAGGCTTGTATTATCGGGCTCAAGGATCCGCCCAGTCTTCTTCTTCGTTATTCGACTTTTTGGCCGATATATCGGCCCTGTCATCTCCTAAGTTTTAAATATCAACAGGATAAAAGATTGATAAAATCCTAGATAACAAGTCTGCCTAAGTGTTTTATTCGTTTCCTCGCTTCTTTTCTTGATTTTTCTCTTCGTTTTCCAATAATATTCTTATTTAACCATTGAATTTTCCCTGTCTATCAGTATTCCAAAATTTATTCTCTACTTTTTCTAATTTTGCTGTTGTGTTGAATGAACGGAGATGCAGCAATATTGTATAGATTTGTATGTGTGTGTGTAATTTTCATAAGGCGAACTCATGTTAAGCAACCCTAATCAGAAGATAAGATAACCGAGATTTTGATCGGGTATAAAGCGGAGGCCTCCCCAGATCCTCAGAAATTAATTTAAATTATTGTGTCTTCTTGTGGGTATCGAACTCGTGCGCAACAGACAAGAAGATGTTAAAAACAATGACACTACGGCAAGCGCTTAACTATTGCGTGTTTTGGGAATCATTATTACAATGCCGAGAAGATCAAAATTAAAATTAAATCTTCACTTTTGATCTTGTCAAATTGGCGATACGAATATGTAAGAATTTTCCGTTAAAATTCCTTCCTTCTTTTTTCAATCAATCTACATCAGTTTATAAATAAACAGAGTACACTGGATAAAATGGCGTCTAAATTATTCAAAAATGAAAATAACACTGGCGTCAAATTTTAACAGATAAATTTACCAAAATCAAACAAAAAAAATATTTTGAAATACTGTGACGTCCCTAAACACAGCCTTCGCTCGCTCTTCGCTGCTTCGTTCGGGTGTCGCCGCTCCAAACGTGATCCGCCTGTCGCGTCAGTCGTGTTGTCTCGTCCTGTGACGACCAACTGGCTTGGTATCGGTCGCGGCACCCAAATGTGACGTTCTAACCTTTTTGTGATTCGGGTGGGAATCTGGTTAGATTTGATATCAGCCTCGTCGTCCCAACTCGCTTCCAACGCCTGGTTACCAAAGTAACTGCCTTGATCCCCAGTCTGCCTACCCACGTTGTGAATTGATCTTAGGCAGACGAGATCAATCAGTAGTTGGGGCCGTAATGCAAATCGGGTTCAAACGGGGGTGACACCGCACAAATATACATAAAAGAAAATAAAATGATAACTCAAAAATTCAAGGTATCAAAAAAAAGGATAACAAACTTTATGTCTAGTTGTTGAATACATAGGACTGCGTCTATCTCCCGACCCGTTCTATGGATTGTGACACGTTGTTTTCCGTTAGGCGAGTTTTAACACTTCAAGTTGTTTGCTCTTTAAGAAATTGGTTTTTCGGTGTGTCTTCGGGCGAAAGTCGAAAAAAAAAACAACTTATTTTTGGTGGTCTGGATTTAAGTCGCTCTTCAAAATAACTGTTCTTGGATTGAAGATGAGACCGGAAATTGCGCGAATCTTGGTCAGCCGGTGCGAGGCTTGCTTCAGGAACTCGAACTCGAACTCGAACTAAACTGATTTCTGCTTGCTGCGGCCTTGCTTATATGGACGCCGACCAAAACCGGGGTGGGTTTGTCGGCGCCGGGGGTTCCTCGATAATTCTAAATACCTATCCACTTCTCTTATTTTTGGTTAGGAATTTTCCACTTCTTTCCATTTTTGGGAACCCTCTCTTACTCCCACCTTCTCACCATACTTCAGAGGGGCGTGAACTGCCCTCCCCACTTCTTCGTAGCAACCTCTCATACCCATCCTCTAAGTGGGCGGTGACAGCTTCCTCCTTGCGTCACGTGATCACCACTCGACCAATGATGTCTAGTCGGGCGTGTACGATCCCGCGGCCTTTGTTTCAGGAAAAAAAATATATCTCGCTAAAAAAAATTTATTTAACCCGGTCTTATATGGACATCGTCAGTCAGATTATCGCTAAATATCAGAATAGGTGGTCTATTTAACACGGCCAGACCGTCGCCTCGAAAAGAAACATTTCTAGGTTTCCAGTCACTCTTTGGTACAAATTTCTGATAACACAGTTTTATTATCGCAGGCCAAAGATGTTCTGT